GTTTATTTTGTGGACCCTCATGAAGTCTCTACAAACTGTAGTTTGATAGTTAGACATCTGGTTTTGCAAGTTTCAACAAGAATTAGAGTTTTCTAATTTTTTGATAAACCTTTATAGAAAAAAAGAGTTAACCTGTCTACAACTGGGTAAGAAATTAAAAACATGGCTGCTGTAATCACCTGACAATACTACGTCCTGTTCAGTTTGGATCATCGAGGCACATGCAGACATGGAAATCTATTGTCTAGGACTTAGTAAAGTTCCATTACAACTATAGATGGAGCTGAGTTGTCACTGAAATACCACTGCCTTACATGGAACATGAATTATTGTGTAGGCCACCTGTTGACAGTGACCAAATTTGGCTTGGTGGCTAGGTTTGTTCAAAGGCAAGGCAGGAGTCCAACCTCCTCCCCACTTGCCTGCGCTCCTGCTGTCATGCTCTCTCGCGGCACCTCTCTCACCCCTGTGCCTCTCTCACTGTCCCTGTCTTGTTCACCCCCGTGCCTCTCTTGCCCACAGTCCCCTCTCTCGCAAACCCTACCACCACCTCCCACCCCCAACTGTCACTGCCTGAGCTCCTGCCTCTCTGGCCGTCTGGCCCTCCCAGCTCTCCTGCTCCACTACACTCTCCCTCTCTGTCTCACTCGCCTCTTCGCTCTCTCACTCCCTCACCCCATCGTGTCACCTTCCCTAATTCTGTACTTTCTCTCGTAATTGCTTATTTTATACATTTGAAATCCATATAAGTTAAAAAGGATTGCAAGAACTGTTATTTTATATTCACTGACTTTATGGTGATCACGGCTTTTGGTGATGTTCGTTCATAATGTTGAGTGATGTTTAGCTTTTTCTGTTTTCCCACTCAATCGTGCAAAATTCTTTTATCAAGAAAAAAGTAAGATTACTGACAATAGAGCATCCTTACATGCCTTCTAACTCTTTCAGCCACAAATGTTAATGTAGTTTGGAGATTTTGGTTTGCAAATACGCAGGCCTTGTGGTTAATGTAACACTGTACGGAGTGCTATTCTCCTTGTGGAAGTAGAGTATGGACTGAATTTTGACATGCTAGATCTTTATATAATTGTCGCTGCAACTGAGTTATTGCCTTTTTACCATCTCTTAGGGTGCTTCCACTTCAAGTTCAGAGCATTTCGGTCATAGAGCTAAGCGTGCAAGGCTGTCAGGAAAGTTACAAGACCTTCCTGGTAAGCAAATTTTATATCATTAACAAATATTTGTTCTTTTGATTTGACAAGAGGTTTAAAAATGTGTTTTCATAATTGCTTTATTATACTTTTTTATCTATCTTTCTTGGAGTGAGATTTTGTGTAAGCGGGTTTTTTTTGTCCTGTAGTCCATTAACAAAACACTAAAAGAGGGAGAAAAAGCGGAATACAAGTTTAGTTGAATGTTTGGCTTTTTTGCAGTGATGCAGAATTTGAAGACCCTTGGCTCAGTATATGTTATTGGCAAATACCTGTGTGATACATTGATGTTTAGGTTTATAGGGTTCTGAGCCTCGAGACTAGACTTGGGAGCTATTAGGTGGAAAGTTCAGTTTCTGTTGTCCAGTTATCATTGCTGGGAAGTTGCATGCTTGTCATCTCTTCATGCCACCCATTAATCAAGTAGGACATGGGAGCTCAAAATCCAAGCAAATAAAGATGCTGGCATCAGGGAATGGTAGATTGATCCAATTAATCACTTTTGAGGGTTGACACATCGGCAATGGAAATGCCGTAGATGTCGGAAACGCAGTTGGAATTGAAAATTGTGAGAAAGATTATCTGATTAATAAGTATGAATTTTGAGTTAGGAAACAGTTCTTCTATGTTAGGTTTCTCAAAATTGATCTGTGTTTAGAATTGCCAGTCAATATTAAACTGTTCCAGTATCTTTGTATTCTGAAAAGGTCAGTAAAAAAATACCATGTTGTGGACAGCCAAATCCATGACATGGTCATCTTTTTGTTTTCTTAAAACTGGTAGTATATATAACTGTGACAGAGAGTGTTGAGTTAAGATTCAACTAAACACCCAATCAGCTAATCAAAAACTAAGTTGGGAGCATGCATTTGCTCTTTATAGCACATGGATTATTAAACCTTCCTATGTAGCACTGTGATTTGTAAAAGTGTTGTTAAAGCAGAGACTTGTGGCCTACAAGTCAGATTCTCCCCATATTTTGGGCGGGGGATCTGGTTTTTGATGGAATCCTGCATTATTTCTACTGGTCCTGTGCTCTGTCTGAAGTGAAGCACGTTATTTATATCAATGAGTGCTTTAAACAGTGCAATAGTAATATAAACTGTCCTGAAGGTGGTTTTATAAATATGCAAATGCACTTAATGGATTCAAAGAATGTTTTTGTTCAGTTAAAATATTTTTATGGCTTCCAAGTATTACAGAATACGGGTATTTCGGAGGATAGATAGATAATCGGAAATGAACTGCAAGCTGTTGTTTGCCATTAACTGAGTTGGCAAGTTGCTTCTCTTGTCCGAATAATTTGTGACCTCAGAATTCATACATTTTGGACTGAAAGCCAAAAGATATTTTGTGTATTGCAAAAAGAAATTCCTCTTGCATTATTTTAGATCCTAAGTTAGAGGCTTTCTAATACTTGTACCTTTTTTGTTTAATTCTCACCCAGAAGTTGAAATATATTTTTCCTCAATTGCTCTATTGACCCCCTTACTAATTTTGAAAGCTGCTTTTTTTTTTCCCTAGAGAAAACCATTCCAACTTGCTTGATACCTCTTGACAGTTGAATGCTTCCCATTCTGATAACACGTTAGGCCAGGAGTTTGTAACAGTATATCCATCAATGTTCACTTCTGTTACTCCTCTCAAACAACAACTTCTGGATCTGTATTTATGCACAATTAAATGGTTGAAGTCAGAAACTGCTAACAGTAATTCCATCCTTCTCCAGAACATGTGTTGTTAAGGTACCACCACCAGTATAAGTGGATTCCAGAAATAATTGACTCCACGAGAACGTCCACTCATACTATTAGTGTCACCGTAGGAACCCTTGATAAAGTGAGGTGTAACTGGGTTTTTAGTATCCTGCAAAATTCTTCATTACTGCTGAACATTTTTCATTGACCTGAAGAAGACATTTATATTAG